GGGGGCCGCGGCGGCGTCCGGGCCAGGCAGCGGTGCAGTGGTTCCCGCCGCAAGACCAGAAGCGTTTCTTCAGCAGCAGTAGCAGCGACGCCAGCGGCGGCGGCCCCTCGCAGTCTCCGACGATCGTCTCCGACGATCCTGACGACCCCGACTTCCCCAGCAGCCCGGTGGGTCAGCGGCGGAGGCGCGCTGGCGGCCGACTCTCCAAGGACCGGCCGAGTCTGATCGCGACCCCGAGACGCCTGAGGCTGCGAGCGCGGTGCCCGCAGAAGTGCAGCACCCCCTGCGGGGCGCTCGGACCGCCGCCCTTCCCCAGCGGCCACCCGGGCCTCCTGAGCCCGGACCTCAGTGTGTGCGGCCAGCCCAGGGCCGGCGGCGAGCTGAGCACCAGGGCCTCCCTGTTGAGTTCTCCGGCCTCTCCCGGCCCCGGGTCCCCTGCGCCAGGAGACAGCATCTGTACCGACCCCTCCGCCTTTCTGGATGCAGCCTCTGAAGCTCCGAGCGGCCTCCACCTTCCAGAAGCCTCCCTGGACCAGGAGCCTCTCCCCTGTTCCCAGGAGGCAGAGACAGCAGGAGGCAGGCTCAGCAGGTTGGCCCACCAAGCCCGTGCCAGCCTCAGGTCAGCTCTCTGTAGCTTTTTGGACTCAGGAAAATCTGAGGATTCTGAGCTTGGGCCAGATGGGAAGAATATGCGGGAGTCCTGCTGTGACAGGGAACTGGTGGGGAGGAGGCTGGAGAGCCCAGGTTCACACAGCACGGGTAAGCAGAGGGCCACGGACCAGGACTCCGGTCGAGAGGCTGGGTCTCAGGAGGCTGTCCAGATGGAATACGGGGAGGCCCGTGGGTGCAAGGGCGGTATGGCACCTGGGAAAAGCAACAGGCCTGAGAGAACCAGGCCAAGCCGGAAAAGGAAGCATCAAGAGACAGCAGAAACCTCCCTCCACCATCACCACCACTTTAAAAAAGGCCAAAAGATGGAAAAAGATTCATTCGTCACCCAGGACCTGACTCCTTTACAGAATGCCTGCTCTTGGACCAAAGCCAGGGCCTCCTTCAGCTTGCACAAGAAGAAGATGGTGACCTCTGTGTCAAAAGTGTGCAGCGTCTACACCATTGCCAGTTCTCTCTCTGAGTCCCTCATATCAGAATATTCAAACCTTCCTGTCACAAACAGAACAAACAGTGCCCTGTACCCTTGGCACTTCTCCTCCATGTATTTGCTCACCCCCTTGAAGACACGACATGCCACAGACAAAAAGGCATCTGATGCAGAAAAGGTTTATGGGGAATGCAGTCAGGAGGGTCCTATCCCCTTCGGCGACTGCCTTTCCTCAGAAAAACTGGAATGCTGTGAGAAGATTGGGGAAGGGGTGTTTGGCGAAGTGTTTCAAACAGTTGCTAACCACACACCTGTGGCCCTAAAAATCATTGCCATTGAAGGACAGAAGTTAGTCAATGGAGCTCATCAGAAAACTTTTGAGGAAATCCTGCCAGAGATCATCATCTCCAAAGAGTTGAGCCTCTTGTCTGATGAGGTATGCAACCGTACAGAAGGCTTCATTGGGCTGAACTCAGTACACTGTGTTCAAGGATCTTACCCTCCCTTGCTCCTCCAGGCCTGGGATCGCTATAACTCAACCAAAGGGTCTGCAAATGACCGGCCTGACTTTTTTGAGGAAGACCAGCTCTTCATCCTGCTGGAATTTGAGTTTGGAGGGATCGACTTAGAGCAAATGAGAACGAAGCTGTCCTCCATCGCCACTGCAAAGAGCATTCTGCACCAGATCACTGCGTCCCTTGCAGTGGCAGAGGCATCTCTGAACTTTGAGCACCGAGACTTGCACTGGGGGAACGTGCTCTTAAAGAAAACCAGCCTCAAAGAGCTCCACTACACCCTCAATGGGAAGACGAGCTCCATCCCCACCCGAGGGCTACAGGTCAACATCATCGACTACACCCTGTCACGCTTGGAGCGGGACGGGATCGTGGTTTTCTGTGACATTTCCATGGACCAAGACCTGTTTACAGGAGAAGGTGACTACCAGTTTGAGATCTACAGGCTGATGAGGAAGGAAAACAACAACTGCTGGGACGAATATCACCCTTATAACAACGTGCTCTGGCTACACTACCTCACAGATAAGATCCTGAAACAAATGACCTTCAAGAGCAAAGGTAACACCCCTGCCTTGAAGAAAATGAGGAGAAAGATCAAGCATTTCCATCAGACTATGTTGAACTTCAGCTCTGCCACAGACCTGCTCTGCCAGCACAGTCTGTTTAAGTAACCTGGGGTTGCTGACTGCTCCCAAAGGAGGGGGCACAGGTCTGGAAGCCCCTGATGCCGTTTTTAACCTCTATCCCCACAGCAGGGTGGGATTCCTGTTCTTACAGGTTTCCACTCAGCTTTTCAAACAAGAATTTTGTTTCCAAGTGGAAGCTGAAATGTTTGTTGAAATGTTTAAACTTAACAAATGTTCTGTAAAAATAAACTATACACGAGAACAAGTGTTTACAACCGAAAAGCCCTCTTTCTGTCAGCAGACTCCATTTTGTAAATTCCTTTCCACATTTTCCTTTTTGAGCCTTGACACTTTATGTAGCCTGAGCAGGAAAAAAAAGGAAAGCCCAAGGCCTCAGCTGTCAAAACCGATCAGAGCCTGTTGCTGTAGGTGTCACAAGGCTGGCTTTGACAGACCGGGAGCCAGCTGAGAGCAAAGAGGCCGTAGCAGAGCAGAGTCCTAGGCAGACAGACTGGAAGGCAAGCAGGAAGGAAGGTGGTAGGCAGTTTATAGGGAGAAGTGCGAGAAATGCCACATGTTTATCAAGCTCATTTGCCAGTCACAAAGAGAAGCAGAATTTATCGATGATTTTCAAATGGAAAATAAATGTCTCCATGGCTACTCAAAACGTTTGAATTTTGCATATTTTTTCATCAAGGGAAGAAAAACTGGAATGTCGTTTTAAGGGCTGAGTGGTTAATATTCCTTGTGAACGTGACTTTGGTAATCTACTCCTAAAATGTGTTCCCAGGTTAACTAATCTTTTTCTACTCCTTTTCTAGAGTTCTAGTTTTTATACCTTTGAGAGTCCACAGTCACTCTGGAAAGAGATGTGATGGTGATATAGAACCGCCTCTATGTACCTGAGTCTTGGTCAGGTTCTTCACTCTTATGACCTGGAAACCTTGTAATTTAACTGGAACACAAATTTGCAGCTGGAACTCGGCTCCAAAGAGGTTCTCCCCATGTATCTGCAAAATAAATCAGAGCGGGAAGTCACGGCTGATGTTGCTTTGCCACCTGTGGCTTTGCAATGACAAGCACAGCACTTACATTGAAGAGGAACTCTTTGTGGTGGGAAAGCCCCTGGCTTGTGTTCATGTATGTCACTGATGGTCTGCATTTGAGAGGACATGGGTTAGGCCTCAAGGCCCCTTTCACATTTTAAAAAACCTCAATGCTGGGCTTCCCTGGTGGCGCAGTGCTTGAGAGTCCGCCTGCCGATGCAGGAGACGCGGGTTCGTGCCCCGTTTCGGGAAGATCCCACATGCCGCGGAGCGGCTGGGCCCGTGAGCCATGGCTGCTGAGCCTGCGCGTCCGGAGCCTGTGCTCCGCAAATGGGAGAGGCCACAACAGTGAGAGGCCCGCATAACGCAAGAAAAAAAAAAACAAAAAAAAACCAAAAAAAAAACCTCAATGCTACCAATTGGATACACTAGGACAGAGGGCACCTGATCCTTAATAGGGATCAAAGCTGAATATCAAAATGTAAGGTGGTGGTAGGGCAGTTGGGATCAGGTTAGAATATTCGAATTCTGTATATTTGGGCTGGTTCTGTATCTAATTATAATGCCTTAGAGTGGCCTTACTTTTTTCCTTCCTTTCTTTCCAATGCCATAGCCCCTCTCTTCCCTCCTTAGCATCACATCAGTTCCCTTTTGTATCAAGACCAGTTTGCACTGCTCCTCCTTTGATTATGACCATGGGGTTTCTAGGACCCAACTGTTAGTGCCCTAGACGTCATTGGGCGCCTGGGTTCTAAGCAGCCTCCTCTCAGGGAAAGGCAATGCCCACATCTACCCTGACCACAAGTTCCACCCACAAGAGAAAATGCCTGAAGCTGTCCCGCAGGTGTGGGCCCCTTGGAAGTACTTACTTGGGAAGAACTGCAATGAAGGCATGTTTGAAATGAAGGCTGTGGGTCTTACTGACCAAAGACCTTCTTTCATTGGAACTAGGAAATAAGAATGTCAGTTTACAGCACACCTGCTTTGTACACATGGCTTCTTACCTTGGCTTCCTGGGATCACTGCGGGTCAGATAGAAAAGACTCTGGGAGATAAGCAATTAGAGTGCAGAAGACGCTAGAAGACCATACTTAGAGAAACTGATTTTAAAAGGGTTTCTCAACCTTGATAATATTGACATTTGGGGCCAGATGAGTCTTTGTGAGAGGCTGTTCTGTATATTGTAGGATGTTTAGCAATGTTCCAGGCCTCTACCCACTAGATGCCAGTAGCACCCGCCCCAAGTGGTGCCAGTCAAGTGTTTTCAGGCGTTGCCCCTGGGGGCAGAATCACCCCTGTTTGAAAATTTTCCCAACACCGTACCCGACTCTACCCCAAACATAGAGGTTTTGCAGAAGACAGAGCTTCTCTGAAGTTAAATGAACCAGAATTAGAGCTCCAGTCCAAAGCTCATTCTTCCAGACCATACCATAGTTTTACTGTGTCAGTAAAAGAACATTTTAAATATCTTCGATAACAAGAAGGGAAAGCCAAGTCACAGCAGGGACACACGTGCCTTCTCAGGGCTCACTGAGGTTCCCCTTCCTGGGCAGTGAGGGAGCCAGAGCTATTAGGCACGCACATGGGAGGGAGGCTTCTTGCAGGGCTACGGGCTGGGCCTGCTGTAACACAGGCATTGCTTACTTGGTGACTGTCACAGCGATGCCGGCTGTCCTGTTTGGAAAGGCACTCTCCACCAGCTGCCAAACCAATGAAAAGTCTGCCTGTTTAAACAAACAAAAAAGGTCACTTGATTCCCCTTTATACCGCTCACAACTCAAACTGCTTCCTACTAACTAAACAGACCTGGGAAACGTAATTCATACGCCTCACGTTTTTGTAGCACAGCATGCTGCAAGGCCCGTTATTCCACGTTAAGCCGCACAATGTCAAGATGGAGTAAGTGGGGCAGACAGGATTATTCCCTTTACAGTTGAGGAGGCTGCCTCAGAGATTTCCCACAGCACAGAGATAATCAGTGGCAGATCAGGGACTCATAACTTTGGGTCTGATGCTCCTTCCATACTGCACCCAGCTTCACTCTGCTGTACTGGTGTGCGTCGACCATTTATCTGTGGCTGTGTCCCTCAGCCCCACCACTCCCCACTTTCAGAGCACGCTTGGCCGCTCTGAGCGCTCTAAGAGAAGTGTGGAGACTGCAACTGAGATTCTAATGAGACTGGAAAGTAGAAGACACCAATCCCAGGGTAGTGAGAAGAGTCAGCCAATCAAAACAGACTCACAGATGACCTCTTGAGTATGGGGTGACCGATCTTGCAGTTCATGACCAGGACAGAAGCAGCTGGCTTAGGGTCATCGCACTGAATGTTTGGAGAAGGAGGCTGTTAACATAAAAGATGTTGTTTTTGTTTTGTTTTGTTTTTGACATTGATTTTAAACGGCAAAAAAAGGAGCAGTTTCCTCACACCAATTCAACATGCCAGACGCCCTGCCAGGAGCAAGGGACACAAATAAATTAGACTCTGTCCTTGTCTCCCTCACAAGCTGGGCAGTAAGGGCTCAATGCTAGATGGTTGAGGAATTTAAATACAAGGCCTAAGGAGTGGTTCTGTGAGAGCAGTACAGAGAAAAGCAGTAGAGAAAGATGAGGTCCAACCAGGAGGATTCAAAGGCTTCATGGGGAAGGAAACATTTGAACTGGGCCTTGGACCAATGCAGATTTCATGTACTGACCAGGCTGGAAGGCCAGCATGAGCCCAAGCACTGCCATGCAGCCTTTTTCAGCCATGGTTCCTCATCCAGACCACTGAATACAGAAAATGACTTGAGTAACTACTATTTTCTTAATTCTCCCAAGGATGCTGCATCTAGTTCCATTCTAGATGCTTAGGAGATCATGGCATTCTTCTCATGTAATGGATGCCGTCTTAGCCCAGATAGCCTCAGACCACTAGGGACACAGTCGTAGTATGACAAAGCCACGTTTGTTGACTCATTACAATGAGGAAAACTGCACTGTGGTGTATTTCACCAAACAAAGGAAAAGATAGTTATTAAAGGATTCTGGGGAAAGGTGGAGTTCAGGGGAAATGTAAACAAAGCATTGTTTTGATAGGCCCAAAACAAAGCAGGGCTGTGTGTAAAAGGCCACTCAGCATCAGGTCTGGACTGCAAAGTGGACTCAGGGACCCATGTCCTTGGAAACTATTAAGGTGAATGTGAAAAGTTATGTCCAGAAACATTTTACCTGAAGCTCCAAGCCTCAGATGGAAAATGAGAGTGCTTCTCTTTGTCAAAGTGGCTTAGACTCTCCAGGCAAGAGTAAGATGGTTTCACAATTACAGATAAAACTTCAAACAGCAAAGTTTCTGACTGCCTATGATTTTAGGGAACAAAATTTTTCAGTGTTAACAATACTTTACAGCTGCAGGGTGTTCTTGGGAGAAATACTGTTTCCTAGTATCTTGCAGCTAGCTGGCTTTGAGTCTGTGCTCCCAGGCTGATGAAAGGCCAAGCAGACTCTTACTTTCCAGTCCAAGCTACTTTATTAGAGACTATTTCTCTCTCAGAACTCTAGTTAAGAAAGGCTGCAAGGGGACTTCCCTGGTGGTGCAGTGGTTAAGAATCCGCCTGCCAATCAATGCAGGGGACACGGGTTCAAGCCCTGGTCCAGGAAGATCCCACATGCCACGAAGCAACTAATCCCGTGTGCCGTAACTACTGAGCCTGCGCTCTAGAGCACGTGAGCCACAACTACTGAGCCCGCGTGCCACAACGACTGAAGCCTGCACGCCTAGAGCCCACACTCCACAACAAGAGAAGCCACCACAATGAGAAGACCACACACTGCACGAAGAGTAGCCCCCGCTCACCGCAACTAGAGGAAGCCCGCGTGCAGCAACAAAGACCCAATGCAGCCAAAAATGAATAAATAAAATAAATAAATTTATTTTTTAAAAAAAGAAAGGCTGCAAGCAAAAGGAGTGATTAGGCAGCAAAATAGCACCACTGAAGATTTTTAAAGCAGAGAATGACATGATAGGATCCATGGCATATAGTTGGATTAGAGGGGGGGGATCCATCTAGTTAATTAATCATTTACTGGATGGACCAGGGTGAGGCCGGAGGCAGAGTTAGGAGGTTGCCGTAACAAAGCAAGTATGCCACAAGGGAAAGCCACGAGCAGTGTGGTTCCCAAACGCTGTCACAGTTACCTTTTGTATCCTCTTAAACTGCAAGTTTCTGGGGTAATTCAAAGCCATGCTTGTCATGTAGGAATCTTCCCCAGAGTTAGTTAGGCTAATGTTCATGCTCAGCTCCTTTGTGAGACCCACCACCAATTCCTGCCTGCACAGGGTAGGCAAATAGATAAATGTTACCAGTTTATTTAATCTGTACAAACCTCAGTGCAATACAACAGCACCTTTTTAACTAACTTCTTAGATAAATTGCTTAAAGGATACATTTAGCCTAGATTTTCTTCCCCTCAACATAAGCAAACATCTGGACTGCCATACCTCAGCTGCTGTGTGACATGACCATTCATGTAATGTTTACCAGGTGTCAAGGACTGTGTGAAATGCTTCACACGCTCAGTTAATCCTCGTAATAACCCTATGAAATAGTACGGTTGCTCTCTGTTCTATAGAGAAGGGAACAGAAGCCAAGGGAGGATAACTAACTTGCCTGAGGTCCAGCAGCCTCAAAAGGGAGTTGGGAGAATTGGATCTAAACCCTCTTTCTACCACGAACGCACTGTGACCCCAGGCAACGTACTTCGTGACACAGATTCATCCATCTCACATACATTTACAGAAGACTTTCTCTGTGCCAGACACCCTGCTAGACATGGGAGAAATAGCACACGGGGGACAGATGCTGCCCCTGCCCCTGTCTTGGCCTCAGCCTTCCCACCCACAAAATCATCCCGGCCCTTCCAATTTAAAGGCTGTGGGTTAAAACATGAATCTGTTCAGCCTGGAGAAGACGTGGGGACATGTAAGTGCTTCTTTCCATCCGCTGAGGCACCATAATTGAGACCTACAGGGAAACATATCAACAACGAAGAAAACTTTCTAACCCTCTGAAAGGTTCAAAGATGGAATATGCAGCTCTCGAGAGTAATGTGACCTGTGTCTTGTTGTTTCTGTTTTTATCACAGCTGAGAAAAGGATAGATTGGAGGGCTAGAAGGGGCAGAGGCAGAGCCTGTGTGGGGATCCATCTGGGAGATGATACAGGCCTGACATCAGACAGTACTAGTGGGGATGGGGAGGGGGTAGAAACCAGAGGTGATAAGGCCATGCTTGCAAGCAGCACAAAAATGAGAGAGGAGTCGAGGATGCCTCCTGAGTTTCCAGCTTGGATGACCGAGTGGGGCTAGTCATGAGGGAGAGAACACAGGGGGAAGACCAGAGGGCAGAAGTTGATCAGATGGGTTCAGTCCAGGGCATGATGAGAGGTGCCCAGAGGACAGGAAGGCAGAGATGTTGAAATGTCAGTAAGGTATCCTGTTCTAGAGCCCAGGAGAGAGATCTGAGAGTCATTGGGATATTTACCAGGGGTTCTCAACCTGAGGGCCGGGGCAGTTTCAGAGGGCCCCAAATGCAAACACCAATATATGCAAGTGTGATCTTCTAGGGAGAAAGCTCTGTAGTCTCCCTTAGATTCTTTAGGAGATCCCTGTCCACAAAAAAGGTCAAAGCCATTGAGACATTTGGTTGCTAAGGATTAGGTTCAATACTTTTGAAAAAAGAAGAGACTGCTGGCTGTGAACACTAGGGGGTGATGTAGGGCCAGCTGTTTCACTGTCTGCTTCTCAAGGACGTGGCTGGGAGGGCTTTCTCGGCTGTAATTAATTCCGTTAGAAACAACTGCGTCTCCTTGTTAGGCTGGCTTCCAAAGCACTCAAAAGCCTTGAATTGGATCCTTAGTGACTGAGAGGGGCAGCGCTAAGCCATCCACATCTGAAACACAAGTCCTGCAAATGTCTATGAGAAGGCTTACCAGGACTCAGAGAACAGTGCTCTTCCCCAGAGATGCCAACTCCGGCCAGCTGGCCATCAGTGCCATGTTACACACACAGCACTAGGAGTCAGGGAAGGCATTTTAAGACCACCACCTGTCCAAAACCAAACTCACGATCTCTTCCTCCCCACCCTGCCTTCCAAAACGATTCTTCCAAAAGCTTCCCTAATTCAGTTCTTGACATCACCATCATTCTAGAATACAGTGTGGTCCAACAGAACTTTGGCAGTAGTGAAAATGACCTATTCTGTGGTGTTTAATACCACTAGCCATATGCGGATCCTGAGCACATGAAATGGGCCCAGTGCAACTAAGGAACTAAAATTTAATTTTAATTAATTTCAATTTAAATAACCAAGTGTGACCAGAGCCTATTGTATTGGACAGCACAGTTCTAGATGCTCAGGCTGAAGCGTTGAAGGACTTCTTAGACCCCTCTCTTTCTCTCACTCCCCACATCCAATCTGTCATCCAATCCTGTGGGCTCTAACTTCAAAATATAACCACTTTCATTGCCACCACGCTGGCCTAAGTCACATCACTTCTCACCCGAGTTACTACAATAGCTCCCTCCTATTGCCCCGCCTCCACCTTTGCTCCTACAGTCTACTCTGAACACAGCAGCAAGAATGATCCTGTTAAAGTGCATGGTCATGTCATTCCTCTGACTTCTCAGCTCGCGGTAAAAGTCCTCATGGAGATGCAGCTACGTATGACCTTTCCTCCCCTCACGTGACCTCTCCCTCCCTCATCTGCAACCAAGCTGGTGTCCTGGCTGTTCCTCCCATCTCCAGGGCATCTGCAGGTGCTCTACCTTCAGACACCCGCAGAGTTCATTCCTCCACCTCCTCTTGCATGCACCCAAATGTCACCTTCTCCGTGAACATTCTCCTGACCACTCTATTTAAAACTGCCACCCCTCCTCCCCGCCGACATTCTGTCCCACCTTCCCTGCCTTCTTTCTCTTCATAGTACTGATACATCTCATCAACACAAAGCTGACTTATTTATTATCTTCTCCCCCTAAAAGCACCAGAAGGGCCGGGATTTTTGTGTGTTGTTTACTGATGTATCTCTAGCACGTAGAGTGCTGGGCACAGAGGAGATGCTCCATAAATATGCAATGAATTAAGTAATCTGGTTAAGAGGTGAGCCAGGGAAGAGGTTACCTCTAACTGAGGTGGTCCTAGGAGTGAGAGACACTGAGTTAACGAAAATAGCGTTGTCCGGGATGTCCAGAGACCTGGGTGTAAGTCCACCCGATGATCATGTGACCCCACACAGGCCCTCAACTACCGAGTCTGTTGCCTAATCTATAAAATAGGAATACAAATTTCTGTCTTGCCTCCCTCACTGGGTGGGTGGGGAAGCAAGAGATAATAAGTGCAGAAGCCCTTTGTGGGCCATGAGGGGAAGGGGGAGGACGTGAGCGGTCCGTCCTGGTGAGGGGTTTGCCCAGGTAAGCCTTCAGGAGGAAGTTAACTGCAGAAACCACGACGACTGGATTCAACTCACTGAGAGAGGGTGGTGGCCAACTGCAGCTCAGCGACACAGAACAGCTTATTCTTGCAGGCCTTCTCGTAGGGCAGCTGTAACCAGACAGAGAGAGGCAGGATCAGCCCAGGGACCCCGCCATCCCCGCCTTGCTTCATGATCTCCTTAGCACATTCCTGTCCCTCCTGCTGACTCTGAGAAGTGCAGGTGAAGGCTGACAGGCAGGGGTTGTGTCCACATGGCCGTGAGAGCTGTGACTGTGGCATTCCTTGGCTTGTCAGGGATGGGGATGTGCTTGGTCCTACAACACAGGTACCATGCGTCACGCCACTGGCCAAGGTCAAAAATGGGGTGACCTTCTCTTTCTGACTTACTTCACTCTCTATGACAGACTCTAGGTCTATCCACCTCATTACAAATAGCTCAATTTCGTTTCTTTTTATGGCTGAGTAATATCCCATTGTATATATGTGCCACATCTTCTTTATCCATTCATCCGACGATGGGCACTTAGGTTGTTTCCATCTCCGGGCTATTGTAAATAGAGCTGCAATGAACATTTTGGTACATGTCTCTTTTTGAATTTTGGTTTCCTCAGGGTATATGCCCAGTAGTGGGATTGCTGGGTCATATGGTAGTTCTATTTGTAGTTTTTTAAGGAACCTCCATACTGTTCTCCATAGTGGCTGAACCAATTCACATTCCCACCAGCAGTGCAAGAGTGTTCCCTTTTCTCCACACCCTCTCCAGCATTTATTGTTTCTAGATTTTTTGATGATGGCCATTCTGACTGGTGTGAGATGATATCTCATTGTAGTTTTGATTTGCATTTCTCTAATGATTAATGATGTTGAGCATTCTTTCATGTGTTTGTTGGCAGTCTGTATATCTTCTTTGGAGAAATGTCTATTTAGGTCTTCTGCCCATTTTTGGATTGGGTTAGGGAAGGACAAATACCGTATGCTAACACATATATATGGAATTTAAGAAAAAAAAAATGTTATGAAGAACCTAGGGGTAAAACAGGAATAAAGACACAGACTACTGGAGAACGGACTTGAGAATATGGGGAGGGGGAAGGGTGCGCTGTGTGGGATAGGGCGAGAGAGAGACATGGACATATATATACTAACAAACGTAAGGTAGATAGCCAGTGGGAAGCAGCCGCATGGCACAGGGATACCGGCTCGGTGCTTTGTGACTGCCTGGAGGGGTGGGATAGGGAGGGTGGGAGGGAGGGAGACGAAGAGGGAAGAGATATGGGAACATATGTATATGCATAACTGATTCACTCTGTTATAAAGCAGAAACTAACACACCATTGTAAAGCAATTATACCCCAATAAAGATGTTAAAAAAGAAAGAAAAATGGCTGACACACAATATGTGTTCAGGAAAAGAAAAAAAAAATGGGGTGACCTTTGTGAAATGGTGGGAATGCCTGTCGCTTTCATATTATGCTAATTAAGCAGCAACACTCACAACTCACTATTTTGAACATTTGGGAGAGGAAAACCCAGGTGAAGAAAAGCTTCCTTAGTCCTCTTAAGTAGAGCAGCAACAGCAGGGGACAAAAGGAGGTAAATAACCAAATACTGTCAAGGTCCAGTCCCGGGAGGTCCTCTACCCCCATGGCTAGTCTTCTCTGTAGGTTAAATATTCCGCCTTGCAATCTTGCCTACACCAAACAAATTCAGAAAGTCGCACTGGGTCCAAAAGGCCCAGTCAAGGTTGAAAAGCTCCAGCTCAGGCTGAAAAATCAAGTTTTCTAAAGGTGCTGGTCTATTTTTTATTCTGGAGGAACCACAGCCAGCTCTCTAACTGGGGAATCTCTGCATTTATCTTCCCAGCAGCCAGTGACCATCACAGCAGCTTTATTAAACAGCAGCAAGGACTGTTTCCATGACCTGGAGCTAGAGTGGGAGCCCAGAGCTAGAAAGAAAACCTTCTGCTTCCCAGAGAAGGGAGATGCAGTTCACAGGAGTCAGAGCTTGGAGCTCTATCTGACTGGGTCAACAATTGGGGGCAGGTTTTTTTAGTTTTGTTTTTAATACAGTCAAGCAGCCTGCTCTCTTTCAGCACGATTATAACACCCTAAGCTCCCAGCTAGAACTCATTCTCTGGAAACATCTATGTGCCTGACCTAACACCAAATCATTTCTCCTCATCCATTTTATCAGTGGGATAGTTTTTTTTAAAACCTCTTTGCCAAACCATCAAACTAATAATTGATTAAGGTAAGAATCCTGAATGGATGTTAAACAGGATATATGCATAGTCTCAAAGCATCTCCCCATAAGATACTTATTAATTACAAAGGGAAACAGCATCAGGAATGGGACAAATTAACATGATGTGCCTCGGATACGATGCACTTAGAGGGGTGAGACTTCATTTCTGGGATATTCCTGCCCAAAATGCATAACCTGAATCTAACCATGAGGAAACATCAGACGAAGACAGGTTGAGGAACATTCTACAGTATAAGTGGCCTGTACCCTTCAAGAATGTAAGGTCATTAAAGACAAAGAAAGATTGAGAAATTATTCAAGATTAAAGGAGGTTAAACAAAAGTAAGGAATTATCCTGATCCAGAAAAAAATTTCTTTTCTTTTGCTAAAAAGGACATTAATAGGACAACTGGTGGTATTTGAATAAAGTTTGTAGATTATAGTGTTTCATCATTGTAAATTTCCTGATTTTGATCATTGTACTGTGGTTATGTAAGACAGTGTCCTTGTTTTTTAGGAAATACATATTCAAGTATTGGGAGTAGAGACGCATCATATCTGTAACTAACTCTCAAATAGTTCAGAAATATAGATATGTATATATCTAAGATATATATGAGATTTTATATATATAGAGAGAGAGAGACAGAGAATAAAGCAAATGTGATAAAAGGTTAAAATGTTAACATCAAAAAAAAAATGTTGGGGGCTTCCCTGGTGGCGCAGTGCTTGAGAGTCCGCCTGCCGATGCAGGAGACGCGGGTTCGTGCCCCATTTCGGGAAGATCCCACATGCCGCGGAGCGGCTGGGCCCGTGAGCCATGGCCGCTGAGCCTGCGCGTCCGGAGCCTGTGCTCCGCAGATGGGAGAGGCCACAACAGTGAGAGGCCCGCATAACGCAAAGGAAAAAAAAAAAAAAAAAAAAAAAAATGTTAACATCTGGGGAATCTGGATAAAGGATGGGAATTCTTTGGACAATTCTAACTTTTTAGTAAGCAAAATATTTCAAACTAAAGTTTTCTTAAAACAGAATATATATAATTCGTGATAATCTGCTTATTGACAAAACTTTAAATAATTAGTTCTCCCAGTCTTTTCTGAACCATCTAAGTGTCAATGGCAAATTTTAAAAATTTAGAAAATTAATATACTATTATAAATTTAAAATAAGTGTGCCTAAAAAATTAAAATGAGAATCTTTGCTCATCGGGAACCTGATTCTCCCTCTTCCTGGGCAGACGAACAATAGGAACAGTCAACCTGATTATGTTGCTCTCTTATTTCTATTTACCATATTCGTGATTGATGCATTGGGTGTTAACCAAAACTGGAGCTAAAGGCTTATATAACTGAATTAATATAGAGCATTCTTGTACAAATATTGGACGGTTGTGAGTGTCCTATGATTACCTAGAAATATACTTCTGCTACCTGAAGCTTTACTGTGCCAGCATGAACTACTTTTGGCTTATTTTTATTTTTGGAGGTTCAATGCATTCCAGCTAACTGTAATTATTACTTTTCAATGCTCATGTTATCACTTCTTTGATCCTGATTTTTCTGCACCCCATAAGACTGTCTAAATGAATACTGACAGAATACCCCAGGGGGCCTGGGCCTGAGTGGGAACAAAATCTCCTCAGATATCATAGAATCAAGAAATTTTACCGTTTTTTTTCCCTCTCTGATTTCCTGTAGTTATGTGACACTATCCATCTGCTAGGGTATAGGTCTGGTGGGCCATTCAGCCTGAAGGCCTGGGCAGGACCTGGGCAGGCAGGTATGCCAAAGGGCATCCTCTCTGCAGTGCGGGGCAGGTGGGCTCCAGTCCAGTCCCCACACAGGACCCTCACCACACCGTTATCAGAGACTCTTGCCAAGGTGGGCAATGTATTCATATGCTTCATTAAATATGTAGCAGTTTTGTGAACATAAAAGAACGAGCCTTGCGGGTGGTTTGGAGACGTGTATTACCCACCAGTGAGGTCCTGGGCAAATTAACACCATCTCAGGAACTCTATATCCCCGTTTGTACAGTGAGGGGCCTAAATACTGTCTGAAGACCCTCCCAACTTTAACATTCTTTGAAGACAGGGGAGCAGGTACTTTTAGGGAGATGGCTCCCAGGAGAGTCTGGTCTGAGCTGAGTCACCTGGAAGATGGCAGAGGGCTCAGCATAGAAGTCCAGGATAGGCTGGGGATGGTCCCTCCGGCGCTCGGGGGTCTGGAGTTGGTAGCTGACCTTGACACTGATGTTGGAGAAGCAGTCCTCCTGACAGAGCTGCAGCGTCACCAAGCAATGCAGGGTTGGAGTTGGATGTGGGGGAGAAGATGACAAGGAGGATACTTTTAACTTTGATGCAGTCACAATAAGAAATAAACAATGAAAGTGGTAAGCCAGGATTCCTAAGCCTCTTCCAAATAAGCCAGGCTGCCAAGAGCACTGGGAAAATCTCCCTTGATCTGCCATGGCCTCGGGCATTGTAACTCCTTATGGTTCCTGCCCCAATCACAACGGGATTCTGGCCATTAGGAGTTAAAAACTGGCCTGGGCTTTATTCTGAGTACAAAGGGGAGCCACGAAAGGGAAGAGTCATGGTCACATCTGTGTTTACAAAGATCTTTCTCCAAGCAACACGGAGGATATACTAGAGAAATAAAAACTGAAGGCCAGGAGATGGCCTGGGATGCTGTTTGCCCTTCTCTTTGTTCATTGAGCCTTTCTGCCAGATGGGAGCTTTGAACACCTGAGAGTAGGTGAGCACGATTCCCAGGTGGAAAAGGTAGTTATGCTTGTATTTAAGGAAGCCATAGATTTGCTAGAAACTCGTTCTTAATCCATTTAACAATCAACAGACATGGGAACAGATGTGTAGTCAGAAGCATAATTTACGAGTTTATTGGAATAAATGATCCTTTTAGGTCCACAACTCTGGGTCCTGTCAGGCTCTGGGTCCTGACAAATACATCTTTCATGTCTCTAGGCACATTTGTCAGGAGTAAACTTTTGTAAATCACAACTTTTGTCTTTCTATTTCTACTTTCTCTCGTTCAGGTTTTCTGATGTTGACTCACGCAAGGGCGCTCTGCCCCACTTTTATTATCCGGTGAGGGAGGGAGCCCTGTTATTCCCAATTTATTACCAAGAAAAATGTCAGAAATTAGAGAATTTCCCTTTTTGTCCAGTTTCTAGGAAGCTCAGAGATCTACTTAGTGTTCAATTTTGGTAGGTTTCTTTTCTTTCTGGCCACTCTGCACAGCATGTGGGATCTTAGTTCCCAACCAGGGATAGAACCCACGCCCCCTGCAGTGGAAGTGAGGAGTCTTAACCACTGGACTGCTAGGGAAGTCCCTTGGTAGGTTTCTTTAATTTGGATTTCTGGTACCATAACTCCCACCTCCCACCTCCCATGCCATCATGTGGTTCTTTTTTTTTTTTTTTCTTTTTGGCCGCATCGTGCCGCTTGTGGATCTTAGTTCCCTGACCAGGGATAGAATCCGGGCCCTCAGCAGCGAAAGCACAGAGTACTAACCACTGGTCGGCCAGGGAATTCCCCCATCATCTGGTTCTTAATCTATTATGATTATTTCAGTTGCCTCATTTGTGTGTATGGGTACATGTGCTTCACTGCACGCACCTCAGTTCTTTTCTCAACAATACAGACCCCTCTAGACTTTTTTTGGAAGCTCCTCCACTTACCTGTCCCTCTGTGGGAACCAGCAGGAAGGGCTCACAGGGACGGGGGCCCGTGCCCCACTCCCTAAGGGAGCTCTGACACAGCCTCTCATCTGAACACTGCATCCTTTTCCTCTGCTTCACCACATCCACGTCCAAAGTGAAGTTCAGAGACGTCTCTTTGAGGCCTGGGAATGAAGACCAGGTCTTCCTGATGAGACTGGGATGGGCGAGCCCCAGACAGAGGGCCCTCCCATGAGTCCCTCCTGAGTGGTACCACCCCACGTAGGCACTTCCCCAATTTCCAAAGGTACTTTTCTCATGCCTTCTGGCACCCAGCTAGGGTGCCTCAGTGCACCAGCCCCAAACCTGGAGCAGCACATCCCAGGGGCTGAGCCAGTCTCTTCCCCAGGGAAGAAGCACTTAGGGAGGAGGCTGGGATTGAGGGGGATGAGGAGGAGCAAAAAGTCAAGGAGTGGAGAGAGAAGCCACAGAGTAAAAGCTGAGGGCAGCAGAGCTGGAAGCGCCTTGTAGACCACCTGGGCCAGCTCCCACACTGTGGAGAAAAGAAACCAGGGCCCGGAGAGTGAAAGACGCCCTCCCAGTGTCTCACACAGCCACCCAGCAGCTGCCATCTGGGCTCTGTGGCCTGAACCTTTCAGCCTACACAGCTGGAACTGATAGGCCTGCCCTTTCCTGATTAACAGATTTGATCATGGACTCTTGCAGTAAAGCCAGCCCACCTGGGGGAGCACATTCTGACCTGCCGGAAGACATCACTGAGAGCTTCAGCCCTGGGGACAGTTGCTGGGGGATTGTTCTGGCGGGGATCTCTTGGGTTGGCGGGGATACCTGGGCTGTGAAAGCCATACCTTCTGGAAGTTCTCCCAACCAGTGCCAACTAAGGGGATGGGAAGGGAGGCCAGGCCTCCGGCAGGTTATCCAATCCCCCCGGGCCAGGGAGACAGGGTGGGCAGGCAAGGGGAGAAGATGTAGATCAGGGAGGAGGAGGACAGGCGCTTCTCGGGAGCCCTACGCACACACGCAGGCGTGGGCACAGCGGGTGGAGATGCAGAAGCGCCGGCCTTTTTCTGAGTCTTTTTTCAGAAACTCAACCCTTCAACCCAAGGAAGGGATCCAGTGCCCCTTTTCCCAACAGGATCAGAGAGACCCCTTCAGAGTGTGGACTTGACAGCAGATCACCCTTTTCTGGGGCGGTTCCCATTAAATTGAACCTAAGGTCAAAGGAGCTAAAGTCTAACAGACGGATTTCGTAACACCCCGCCCCCACCCAGCCCTCTTTTCCTGCCCCCCACTGAAGCCAACAGGGACTGACCACAGCACTGGACGGGTCAGCTAGGCTGCCTGGTACCTGACTCAGCAGCTGGGGACACATAGCTGATTTCAAAACACAAATTCACATTCACGCTGCTGTAGAAGCCAATGGGCAGTGCCTTGGGGGTGAAGGTCATGGACAGCTTCAGACGAACCACAGGTCTTGAGCTAAACAAGACAGCAAAGAGGACCATGAGAAGGGACCACGGGACTTCTGGATCAGTGCCTGGGCTCTTCCTTCATTCAGTGAATATACACTGAACACCTCGCTTATGCCAAGCGCTATTCTGAGTCTTCAGGATACTAGAGGGAAAGAGATAAGCCCTGCTCTAGTGGGAAAACAGACAACAAGCAGATAAACAAGAAGAAACAGGAAAATCCTATGTACAGGAAATGCTATGATAAAAATAAAATAGGATTGGGACTTCCCTGTCAGTCCAGTGGTTAAGACTCCGTGCTTCCATCGCAGGGGGCCCGGGTTCGATCCCTGGTCAGGGAACTGAGATCCTGCATGTTGCCCAGTGTGGCCAAAAAATAACTAACTAAATAAATAAAATAGGATAAGGTAATAGAGACTGGGGGCTACTTAGCTGGTGGTCAGGGATGGCCTCACAAATGAGGAGACATTTAAGTTGAGCTCTGTTACCGAGAAAGAGCCCGCTCTGTGAAGATCTAGGGGAACTGCATTACAGGCAGAAAGCACAGCTGATACAAAGGGCCTGTGGTAGGAATGAGTTTGCTTTGTTTGAGGAACACAAAAGTCAGCATAACTGGGGCACAATTAGTGAGACAGAGAGTAGTAACTAGTGGCGGGGATGGAGGGGTCTGCAGGGCCAGGCCATGGTAAGGAATTTCGATTTTACTCTAAGTGGGAACCACTGAGGGGTTTTGAGCAGCAGAATGAAAGGGTCTCTCTGGCTGCTGTGTGGAGAACGGAGCACAGGGAGTGGAAGCAGGGAAGGATGCCATGGCAGTGGTCCAGGTGAGAGGTGACAATGTCATGAACTACTAGGGAGTACTTTGGAGGCAGAGCCAACCAAAACTTGTTGGTGGGATGGCAGGGCAAGGAAAAAGAGGAGTCAAGGATGACTCTTGGGTTTTTATCCTGAACAAATGGCACCCTTTGCTGAGATGGGAAGCCCAGGGAGGGGCAGGTGGGGAGAATGAAGGGTGGGTGGGAATGAGTCCTTTTTTTTTTTTTGGCCGCCCCATGGGGTTTGCGGGATCTTAGTTCCCTGACCAGGGACTGAACCCACGCCCTCTGCAGTGAAAGCACCGAGTCCTAACCACTGGACCGCCAGAGAAGTCCCCTTTTTTGTTTGGTTTTTGTTTGGTTGGTTTTGACTTTTTTTTTTTTTTTTTTTTGGTGAGTCCATTTTTAGACGT